TCCCCAAGCCGTTCCTCTAACCAATGCCTGTATTCAACACCGTTTGGTGTACTGGTAGTCCCTATCGGAAGGTCCCCCTCCCGGGAGGCCCTTTCACCAGCCTTGGAAGGCAGGTAAGCGTCTTGGAGATGTCCCCCTCCCCGGGGTCTCCGGGTCTGTTCCTGTGCTCTCCCTCCCAACGCACCACCATGTTTGCACTTGTGGGCCAAACCTACGGTGCGTGATCCATCGGGCCCCTCTGGTGTCCCTTGTATAGGCTGGCCGGGGGCAGGGGGTCCCCCTTCCTGACACACACTTTCATCATAGCTATTTTGCGCCTTGCAGAGAGGCGAACAACCTGGATTTGCCAAAAGGTGTCACGAAGCCTGCTCTCCCAGTTCGCCGTCTTCCAGCTCCGCTCTCCTGGTCTCCTAGAACCCACCTGTGACAGACCGAAGGATCCACTTTTGGGTGTCAACCCACAGTTTGAGAATCATTTCCCTATTCCCAGGCTGCATTCGCCCAGCGAGGATCCTCCAGTTTGTAGTTAACGTGGCTGTGCTACTGCGAATGTGGAGGTGTGCACATTGGCAGTGGAGCTTCCATATGGGTCAGCTTCCTCCATGAACCACCATTTCCCCTGCATTCCCCCCCCCCGCCATGCCACTGGGGGTCTTTTTAAAAAAGCAATATACCACTACAGTGGCTTGACCTAGATAGCCCAGGTTAGCCTGATCTCGTCAGATCTCGGAAGCTAAGAGCGACAGCTAGTATTTGGATGGGAGACCACCAAGGCAGTCAGTCATAACAACATCAGAAGAGCCCTGCTGGATCAGACCAAACAGTCCATCTAGTCCAGCCTCCTGTCTCACACAGTGGCCAACCAGTTCCTCTGCAGGGCCAACAACAGGGCACAGAGGCCGAGGCCTTCCCCTGATCTTGCCTCCTGGCTCTGTGATTCAGAGGCTTAGTGCTTCTGAACGTGGAGGTTCCCCTCAGTCACTGTGGCTAGTAGCCATTGACAGACTTATTCTCCAGGAGTCTATCTTTTAAAGCTGTTTATTCCTGTGGCCCTCACTACATCCTCTGGCAGCGAATTCCACATTTTAATCACTCTTTGTGTCAAAGTAGTATTTCCTTTTGTCTGTCCTGAGCCTACTGCCCATCAGCTTCATTGAACACCCTCGAATTCTAGTATTTTGGGAGAGGAAGAAAAAGTTCTCTTTGTCAGCTCTCTCCATCCCATGCATAATTTTATAAACCTCTATCGTGTCCCCCCTTAACAGTCTCTTTTCTAAACCGAAAAGTCCCAGCCTCTTCAGCCTTTCCTCATAGGGAAGGTGCTCCAACCCCCTAATCATCTTGGTCCGCTGTACTTTTCCCAGCTCTGCAATGCCCTTTTGGAAATATGGTGACCAGAACTGTACACAGTGTTCCAAATGAGGGTCGTGACGCAGAGACAGGCAATGGCAAACCACCTCTTAACATCTCTTGCCTTGAAAACCTTACAGGGTTGCCATAAGTCAACACACAAAAATATACCACTACAGTACTTACTCTTTTAAAGAATTAAAAAACCCTTTGGCGGCATGGTGGGGGGGAAATGAAAGCCATGAGGAGCTGGAAGAAGGGAAAAGGCACCGGTGTGGGTGGGACCTTTGCAAATGGGCATCTTCCCATCCAGTTGGTGTGATAACACACTTGGACTCTGCTCTTCCCAAAAAAGATTGCAGCAAAGGAGGTTCAGCAAAGACCATACTGGAGTTCGGGAAAGGATGATTGGAGCTCGGTTACAGCCTAACACTGAGTGAATATTCCAAGAAAAAGTGCTCCAGTTTGGACACCAAAGTGGAGGAAACCACACTGGAAGTTATTCCTGCTACTGTTCCAACTGGCTGATCTCTTACTTGGGATCCCACCACTTTGATCCTAAATGAACACAGGGATGATGTAATTAGAGCATTCAGACCATCCGTACTACTGTTATCTCCCACATTATCAGTATGGTGCTGAAAGCAGGTAGCAAGGCTTGCTGGAGCTTTGATCCAGTGGGGCCTAAGCACATTATCTTACATGAAATATATGCAAACAGATTATAGGAACAGCACACAGAAAACAGCACGGGTTCCCTGGGAGAGGGAGAGACCCCTGACTTTGAGGGTGCAGGATTAGGAGTAGTCCAAATCTGTTTTGGTGCAGAGCTGTTCAAGTAATATTTGTGGTTGGATTGGGCAGTAAGAAACTAGGAACTGCAAGGAAGGAATTGGGAACCCGCTTCGGACTCAAGTAGTTTTTTCTGATATTCACACAATTCAACCACGACTTTGATTCCGGAGAAACCCCTTGCAAATAAACAAAAATCCTTTCATCCCAAACCTTTGTTACCCTATGAGCTCCCTGTTTCCCTTTGTCATTCGTTGTCATTCTTATTTCCCTAAGCACATGAAGCCTAAATAGGTCTACTCAGAAGCAAGTCTCAGTTTATTTAATGATGCTTCCTCCCAAGGAAGTGTTCTTGAGTGTGTGTTACGTGCTGCTGAGGTGCTTCCAACTTGCAGCAACCCTGTAAAATAAAGTCCTCCAAAACATCCCAGCCTTGCTCTGGTCTTGCGAACGGAGGGCCTTTGTGGCTTCCTTGACTGAGTCAATCCACCTTTTATGTTGGGTCTTCCTCTTTTCCTGCTGCCTTCAACTTTTCCTAGCATTATTGTTTTTTCCTGGACTCTTCTCAAAGTATTCTTAGGAATCTGTACTTCCTTTTAAAATTGCCCACTGTGATAACCAGTGTTCCCTCGAAGCTGAGTTAGTGTGAGAGCTCACAGTTTTTTTAGCCTCCGGCTCACACGTTTTTGTCTTATCTCAGGAAGGATGGCTCCAGAGCAAACTCATTTATGCAGTAGCCAGACTGCTCGCTCACAACTTTAATGCCGGCAGCTCACAAAGTAGAATTTTTGTTCACGAGAATCCACAGCTCAGAAGGAGCACTGGTGATAGCAGTTAATATTTTCAGATACAAACTGACTTAGAGTGTTATTTTCTTATCTGGGTTGGAGGGGTGGGAGGTATTGTTGGTGAGTCCCCTTTAGTCCCAGCAGCATCTTCTTTTCAACATTACGAAACTGACAAAAGTTGTGCCTTTTTCAAAAGTCTCTTCCTGACTGGTTGCAAAGACTGGGGAGAAAGTCTGGTCAATTTCACCAGTGGTACATGAGAATTGGCATGTACAGTAATATGCTTTAAAAAAAACAACACCCACCTCTGTAGGAATCTGAAAATAAAAAACAGTGAAACTTTGCAAGCTCTGAGAGTTTTCACTGGGCTTTTCCAAAAGGCAACAGAAGTGGTTAAAAACCTTGCCAATTTCATCAGTGCTTTAAAATAGAACTGGGCTGTTCAGCAAAAATGTGCATACAGGGCCTTTGGATGGTGGGAAAAAATCCCTCTTCTCCAAGAGGCAGCAGCAATGGGGCAGGAGCCCCTGGGCCGGGGTGGGTGGGTTGCCTTCTGTTTCAAAGGGATCTGCATTGGGTCTACATAGCATGCACCTGTGTGGTGGTGGCGGAAACAGTCCTCAAGTCACAGCTGACTTATGGCGATCCCATAAGGTTTTCAAAGCAAAGGCACGTGGTTTGCCATTACCTGCCTCTGTGCAGCAACCCTGGGCTTCCTTGGTAGCCTCCCATCCAAGTACTAACCAGAGCTGACCCTGCTTAGCTTCTGAGATCTGACACAACTGGGCTATCCTGGGCCTTCCAGGTCACTGCACACAACTGTGTAGGAATTATACAATATATAACCATTGCCTGCCTCCGCAAAGCAACCTGGGACTTCCTTCATAGTCTCCCATCCAAGTCCTAACCAGAACTGACCTTGCTTAGCTTCTGAGAGTTGACAAGACTGGGCTATCCTGGGCTGCCCAGGTGAGTGCATACAACTGTGTAGGAATTATATAATACATAACCATTGAATGCCTCTGTGCAGCAACCCTGGACTTCCTTGGTAGCCTCCCATCCAGGGCTCTTTTTGGAGCAGGAACTCCTTTGCGTATTAGGCAACACACCCCTAATGTAGCCAATCCTCCGAGAGCTTACAGAGCTCTTCTTACAGGGGCTAGTGTAAGCTCTTGGAGGACTGGCTACATTAGAGGTGTGTCGCCTAATATGCAAAGGGGTTCCTGCTACAAAAAGAGCCCTGCGAGTCCCATCCAAGTACTAACCAGAGCTGACCCTGCTTAGCTTCTGGGATCTAATCAGACTGGGCTAGCCTGGGCCACCCAGGTGAGTGCATACAACTGGGCAGGAATTATACAGTACATAAAAGGTAAAAGGTAAAGGTTCCCTTGCTCGAAAGCCAGTCGAATCCGACTCTAGGGTTGCGGTGCTCATCTCCGTTTCAAAGCCGAAGAGCCAGCGCTGTCCAAAGACGTTTCCGTGGTCATGTGGCCGGCATGACTAAACACCAAGGCGCATGGAACGCTGTTACCTTCCCACCAAAGTGGTACCTATTTATCTACTTGCAATTTCTTGCTTTCGAACTGCTAGGTTGGCAGGAGCTGGAACTAGAGATGGGAGCTCACTCTGTCATGCGGCACCCGGGTCTCGAACTGCTGAACTACTGACCTTCCACAGCCTGCAGTTCAGCATCTTAACCACTTGAGCCACCGCAGCTCCATACAATACATAACCAGCACTAAAAAAGTCATAGACACACACACACATATGACTTTTTAGTGGTGGTTATATATTGTATAATACCTGCACAGTATGTGTGTGTGTATACATATGTACACACACACACACACACATATATATATCTCGAATGCAGAATTCTGTGCCCAATAGTAATTTTTACACTGAATGTGCATGCCCTGGTTATGCCTCACTGTTTCACTGGATTTCTTTCTGCAATCAGGCCAACTGAACATTGAAATAAATATCATGTCGATCAATCCCTGTGAACCACTGTTTATTAGTCCAATGACCTTGCAGCACAATACTTTTAATAGCTGCTACTGCTTTTACCTTCTTTGGTTTCTCATGGTGAGACACGTGCTTCTCTTGGGCAGGTGATGTCGACCGGCTTCTCCTTCCCGCTATGAACGAACCCCCTCCGGAATGGCGTGATGTCTTCTGAAGGCACGGGTGGCAGTGGCGGGGGGATGGAGTGGTGGGTGAGGAAGAGAAGAAAATGATAAAGACCAAAGAACCAGAAAGCAGCAGTACGTAACATCACAGCTGAGCTTTCTCCTCCATATCCCTGCCTGCGGGTACAGGGCCTGGTGTAGCCAGAGGCCCAAGGTTGTTGGCACAACCCTTTTGGCATGAACCAAAAAGGAACACCCTAAGGGTTCTTGGCCCTCACCCCATGGCCCCCAAATGAAGCAGCCCAATGGATTCAGAATCAGACTAGGATGAGGTCTTGTGCTGTTTCTTTCGTTTATCCCATTTGTATTTTTTTAAGTGCTTGTGCTTAGGTGTGTTTGTAAGAGGGAGAGAACGTGGCACGGTATAGCCCAATCTCGTCAGGTTTTGGAAGCAAAGCAGAGATGGTACTTGGAAGGGAAACCACCAAGAAAGGCTCTGCAGAGGAAGGCCATGGCCAGCCACCTCTGCTTCTCGCTTGCCTTGAAAGCCCCTCGCTGGGGTCGACAGTAATTTACACACACGTCTGAAAGAGGCTTCAGGTCTCCACTGGGGAGGAAAGCGGGCTACTCGATTGTCTAAATAAACAGAAATGTGGGTTTTGTGGTCAGGACCAAAGGAGGGATGATGAGGAGTTCTGATGAGCTGAAAAGCACAACGTTGTGTGTCATTTTGGACAGCCCCAATAGAAGTTAGTTGGTGGATTGTGTTTCTTTGTCTGACCAAACTATAGTCAAGGAGAGAGTTTTAAAAACATCCCCTCCTCTCAAAATGTCTCCACTGCTCTCTACAAGCAGGCCCCAAGCCTGAGATCCTTCAAAGTAGGGCTTAATTTGGGGTCACTGAAATCTGTTCCCAGGACCCAAGCCATGGGACATAAGTGCTCCCTCTAAGCTGTGGAGTCTTGTGAGCAAACTTTCTACTTTGCGAGCTACTGGCATTAAAGTTGTGAGCAAGCGATTTGGCTGCTGCATAAATGTGTTTGTTCCTCTGGAGCCATCCTTCCTGAGCCAAGACAAACATGTGTGAGCCGGAGGCTTAAAAACTGTGAGCTGGCTCACGCTAACTCAGCTTAGAGGGAACCCACTTGAGATCCCCAGTGGACCAAGCCTAAGGACCAGCATTCAAATCTCCACTCAGCCCAAAAGCTTCACGGAATGGGCTTCAAGCAAACTGCCGTCTCTTTCTTTATCAGTTCCCCCATTTAAAACAAGGAATCAAAGATGTGCCGATCAGGATGAGGCTCAGGTGGTGGACGGACCCAGGGGACATTTTATTAATTTATTGTTTATGCACTGCCTTTCTGCCGACATGAAAGTCAAAACAGCACACGCATAGTCCTCGGAGCTCTTCCATACGGGCGATGGATCGGGGCAGCTCAGTTTCAGCAAGCTCACAGAAACCTGTGCCTTGCCTGGTGCAAGAACTGCTGGACGTTCTGCTGCACATGAAATCAATAGGAGCCACACAGTAAGGCTCTTTCTCAGCTTCCGAATACTTAAACAAGGCACACATAAGACCCAATGAGTGGACTGTGTCCCGGGTTAACCAGTGAGAGGGATCCATGCCATTTCTGCACATACTGTCCTGGGTCAGCCCTGACAGGTATAGTAGCGTTCCCCCCCACCACCAGTGGTTTTAATTTATATATAAAAATATAATGCTGCCTGTCAAACCATCTTCCTCACTGTTATGTACACTGTGGATTTGGCTCTCCAGGGGTTCATGGGGAAAAAGAGCCTTTCCCACCTTTTATAGTAAAGGTTTCCCTTGCTCAAAAGCCAGTCGAATCCGACTCTCGGGGGGCGGTGCTCATCTCCGTTTCCAAGCCAAAGAGCCAGTGCTGTCCGAAGACTTCTCTGTGGTCCTGTGGCCGGCATGACTAAACGCCGAGGTGCATGGAATGCTGTTACCTTCCCTCCAAAGTGGTACCTATTTATCTGCTTGCAATTTCTTGCTTTCGAACTGCTAGGTTGGCCAGAGCTGGGGCCAGAGACGGGAGCTCACTCCGTCACGTGGCACTCGGTTCTCGAACTGCCGAACGACAGACCTTCCGGTCTGCAGCTCAGCGTCTTAACCGCTGAGCCACCGCAGCCCCTACCCCAGCTTTTATACCAGGGACTAAATTGGGGGAAAAAATTGCATGCAAAGAGAGGGCACATGGCTCAATGGCAGAGTACCCGCTTTGTATGCAGAAGGTCCCAGGCTCGATCCTTGGAGACCTCCCCTTAAAAGGTAGGAGGTGACGCGAAAGACCTCCACCTGAGACACTGGAGAGACCGCCAGTCAGACGAAGAACATAAGAACATAAGAAGAGCCCTTCTGGGAGTGCTCCCGTTTTACCTACCTCAGTTGGGCCCTCATGAAGGCAAACAAGATAAGAGATTGAAAAAGCAAATTTGCTCACTGCTATATAAACGTTTATTCATACTAATCACGACAAAAACGGAATGATTGTACCACAGTTTCCTGCTCGTAGTCAAGGGGGGGAGGGGGGGGACCTCCTCCCATGGTGGAAACAAAGTTCAACCGGGCGGTTTGTGAGGCTGAGAGTCAGGGGAGGGGTTGGAAGCCTCCTGTGTGATTTTGGGGAGTGGGGCTGGTATTATTTGTTATCTCAGGGGACAGCATCGACAAGCGCCTTATGACTGGGGGCAAAGTCTTTTTGCTTTGAGGGCTGGGAGTCTTTTATACAATCAGACCAGCTGTGGTTGGAAAGGCAACCGGAAAAGAAATGCAGCACTCTCTGGCTCCCCCCCACACACACTTGCTCCCCCACTTTCTAAATTCATTCTGTCTTCGTCCCCCACCTCAATCCAGCCCCCCACCACCACCTGTTCCGCAACTGAGTGTGCAGAGAACTGTGAATGCAGTGGTGTACATGAAGATCTGCGGCCCTGGGCGCTGATCCAACAGGGGCATCAGAATGGGCATCTCTGACCCCTCCTGAAACCACGCACGGGTGGCACCATTAGAGGCAAACGGCAGATCATCCCAAATCAGGTGGAGACGGTGGAGAAATTGAGGGAGCAGGGATGGCCTTAGGAAAGTCACCTGCTAGGGGAGTAGAGGTGCCCTCCTGTCTTACACGAATCATCTGCTAGGGGCCCTTGAATTCACATGGCTGGGTGGTAAGAAGAAGAAGAAGAGATCTAGCTTTGCCCTCTTGGTGAGGGGCTGTGGCTCAGTGGTAGAGCACTTGCTTGGCATGCAAAAGGTCCCAGGTTCAATCCCCAGCATCTCCAGTTGAAATGACCCAGCAGTAGGTGATGTGAAAGACCTCTGCCTGAGACCCTGGAGAGTCGCTGCCAGTCTGAGAGCCAGTTTGGTGTAGTGGTTAGGAGCGCCGACTCTAATCTGGGAGAACTGGGTTTGATTCCTCACTCCTCCACATGCAGCTGCTGGCGTGACCTTGGGTCAGTTAACAAATTCTTTTAGCTCTGTTCTCTCACAAGCAGTTCTCAAAAAAGCTCTCTCAGCGCCACCTACCTCACAGGCAATGCTCCCCCTAAGCTGTGGAGTCTTGTGAGCAAGAATTCTACTTTGTGAGCCACAGGCATTAAAGCTATGTGAGTGACCGATTTGGCTACTGCATAAATGGGTTTGCTCTGGAGCCCTCCTTCCTGAGCTAAGACAAAAATGTGTGAGCTGGGGGCTAAAAAAATTGTGAGCTAGCTCACACTAACTCAGCTTAGAAGCAACACTGCTCACAGGGTGTCTGTTACGGGAAGGGGAAAGGAAAGGGATTGTAAGCAGCTCTGAGATTCCTTCGGGTAGCGAAGGGTGGGGTATAAATCCAGTCTCTTCTTCTCCTCTTCTGAGTAGACAATACTGACTTTGATGGAGTCCATCAGTTCCCCCATCTGATGGTCTGATTCTGTATAAGGCAGCTTCCTGTGTTCATATTCATGTGGTGTGTGGGTCCTCTCTACATGGGAATTTGGGGAGGGGTGGGGAAGACCATTCAGCCACGCACTCCCCCACCCTCCAGTGTGAAGTGGTACTGTCAAGGCGCAGATTAAGATGAGACCAATCCTTAGAATCAGCTACATTCCCAGAATGCTCCACACAGACATGCCAAAAGGGCCAAATAATTCCTCACCAGAGTAGTTTTGACTTGGGGAAATGGTTTAGGGGAGACAGAAGCCCCTCCTCGCTCCATACTGCGGCTCCAGGCCGAATCTGGCCCCTGTGGGTTTTTAAAATGCCCCTCCCCTTGGCTGCTGTGTGGCTGCAGGGAACATGGGCTGAGCCTGGGTCACCTGGACCCGAGTTGTTAGAAAACACGGTGCCTCGTTTGGCCCTTAATCCGCCCGGGGAAAGAGAGCAGGAGGGGCAGAGAACACCTTCTGCCCACTGAAGGTCCTGGGTTCAGTTCCTGAGACCTCCTGTTAAAAGGCTCTCAGGCAAGATGGGAGTCCAATGCTCCCTCTAAACTGTGGAGTCCTGTGAGCAACAGTTCGACTTTCTGAGCTACCGGAATTAAAATTGTGAGCGAGCAATTTGGCTCCTGCATAAATCAGTTTGCTCTGGAGCCATCCTCCCTGAGCGAAGACAAAAATGTGTGAGCCGAAGGCTAAAAAGCTGTGAGCTAGCTCACACTAGCTCAGCTGAGAGGGAACACTGGTCGGGACTAGGGGATACCCCTCTCGGCCTGGGGCCCTGAAGAACAGCTGCCAGCCACGGCAGGCAACACCAAGCAAGATCTGTTTCTAGTGCACTTGTAGGGCTATCTTTCGGCCATGCTCCTGCAGAGTGCAGGGGGTTGGACTAGATGACCTGCAAGGTCCCTTCCAGCTCTAACATTCCATGACTCTATGTATGTTCAAGGGGATGTGAGCTGCTCATATCCGGCCCACTCACTCCTCAGCCTCTCTCTGGATTTAGTTGAGCAGAGGCAGTTCTGTGCTGTGCTCGCACCGACTTTGTGTCCCGGGGGCTAGTCAAAATCGACTCCTACGCACAAGATTCTCCAACCCAGCTGACTCTGGCACTCGTCTGGCAACCCCCTTTCAGGACATTCCGGCTCTGCCTCAGCCTGTTCGTTGGGCTCAGGGTGGAATATTCACCATTTGGAGCCAATGTCCCCTTAACTTGGGCCACTAAAAGGCAGCCCGAATGAAAACAAAAGTTTTTAACAGTATTTCCGGGAAATAGAAAGGCTTTTCAAATCGGTAAGGGAAAGAAGTCCTGCACGTTTGCGGATCATCATTTACGGACAGATCTCTGTGTGCCTCTGCTGTCTTACTTGGTAACACAGAACGGAACTCTGGGTTGCCATTTGGCCTGGAGGGGGGGGGGAAGTCCTGTCCCTCTGACAAAAGCTTAATGGGATATTATTTACCTCCGTGCCATGCAAAGCCTCTACGGCCCATTTCCACACATAAAGGGACATTTTTTTCTCCGGGCTGATTGGCAGCCCTGTTTTTTAAATGGTCAAATCAGTCACAGGGGACAAAAGAGAATCAGTCTGATGACACTGGGGACAGACGAGACGGCTGTTTTAAACCTCACTCCCCTACCCTACTCTACGTTTCTCTTGCATGCAAGGAGGCTGCTTCTTCTATAGGAGAAAACACAGAGGTACCAACGCATTGCTAGATGATGCACTTTTGTTATACTTTCACAATTATTGGCAACTCTGTTGTGAATCACTGCTGGACAGCAACAATGGCAGAATATCCAACCATGTGTGGATACATCATGAGCCTCTTCTCTCCCTAGGGTTGCCTGCTGGCCAGGACCTGCCCCCCCCCCCAGAACTTTTGGGGAGAGGCACAGGATGGACACGACGCCACACAATACACTGATGTCACATTTGGGCAAAAATCCAGACATGATGTCAGCCGATGCTCTGGACTTTTTGGATATTCCTGACGTCACATCCAGGTTTCCACCAGGATCTGACATCAACAAGTTGTATGACATCATTTCCCCTACCC